CTGGGAAGGGTGACGGCATGATCTGAAGTCCTGCCTACCATGTGTAGTCTGGATACGGGCGTTCACGGATAGCGATGGCTTTTGATACCAGGTGTTCGACAGGGAAAGGGGGGGGATGTGGGTTTCATTTGTACGATGCTCATAACGGCAGTCACGGAGCGGAAGGCCACCGAGATGTAGATAGGACACGACGTGTACCACACAATACCCACTCGATGGCGATTCAATGCTTAACAGGGGACGGCGAACCGCAAAAGACAGCCACATGCTTCTCATTGCACTCATCCTCCATATCTCTACACGTCTTTTTTCGTCTCCCCCGGTCACGATCCCTCAACCTCTTGTGCAATCCTTCCACTGTTGCAGCCATCAACGTCGGGGTTTCCCTTGCCCGGCAACCACTTGACTGCACGCATGGGCTTGAACCAACGCCGGCGCCATGTCCCCTTCAAGTCAAAACCAAAGGGGACAGCCACGAAAGAGAAACAAGAAAAAACCAGAAGACTATGCTAGAACACCCTCGGCTGGCAAGGAACGTGAGTGGGGTGGCACGTGGCCAAGCTCACCCTACTTTCTCCCATCGCACCACCCATCTATAAAAATGATCCATGATCGCGTGAGCACCCCAAAATCCTGGGTCTCAATCGGCCAGAGAGGCAAGAGAGAAGAAGAGTACAGCCCCACGGCGCGACAAATGGCAAGAGGAAGCATTACAATGCATTAAAAACCCCGGACCATCCCGTCCGCTTCACCTACTTATCACGCACCCTTCGTGTCCTCCAGCGTTTGCGCGAGCTTGACTGCGAGCTCTGGCGTCTTGACTTGCACCATCCACGTCTCCAGACCATCTCCCGTCTCATTCGATGTCATCAGCTTCACGTACTTGGTCTGCCCCTTGTAGGTCTCGCTCGGCAGCAGGCTGCGGTTGAAGACGACGTGCCCCCGCGGTTCGGCACGCAGAAGCATGCGCACGGCGCCCGTTGTCTTGTGCTTGAGGAGGCGGAACGGGCCCACCCCCTTGGTCGACCAGGGGCTCTTGTTCTTGGCGGCGGCGCCCTCGTCATCGCTTTCCGCCTGCCCGGGAGGCACGAACTTCATAATCTTGGCCCTGATCTCGTACACGACAGTCTCGTCCTCCTCGCCGGGGCCGCCCTCCGTCAGGGTAATTTGCTCGTGTGGCTTTTCAGAATCGTCGCCCTCGGCGCCAGGCGCTCCCTGGCTTGCTTCGGGGCCGGTTGCTGATGTCTTTTCTCGGTCAGCGGTCGGCTCGGGGGTTCCGGAGGCTGGCGTCGTGGCTAGGCTCGACGCGCCGCCAAAATTGAAGGGTGAATTGGTACCTGTAGTAGACGCACCCGCGCCGGGGGGCTGCAGGTTACCAAACACGGAGCGCCGGGCTGGGTGGGCTTGGGCGCAAACATGTTGTCGGCCTGGTTCGGGGGCTGAGGGGATG